AGACTCCGTGAACGATGTTTCCTGTTTGAATAATGATGACAAATGAATAAACGAGGTTTCTCGGTCTTTCGATATGAAGTGGTTACTGTGGAGTGAGAAAGATAAAGCTCAAATCAATATTTCTCCTCGGCGATAAAACAATTCACTGATAGCTGGTGCATGGTATCACAACTGATCGAATAAATATCCGGCAAAATGTTCTTTGTAGTGTTAGAAGCAAATGACCGTTAACGTGGATGTGCGTATATAAAGTTGTTGTTTGAAAACAATATGTGAATAACCACAACTCTTTTAAACAAATGTAATTGAAAGAATGAAAACATCATAAATTAAGCTTATTATATGAGGGGTGAAATATCTTATTCAGCGCTGTTTGGAGTGAGCGATGATCAAAATCGTTAGGGTACGACGTCACACCAGCTACGTGTCCGTCATGAATACGAGCACATTAACCAAACGAAGACGCAGCCACGATGTCGTACATTGTTATAACAGTTATAGACCCGTGAAGATGAGGGGTGGAATAGGTCTTCAGCAACCCATGCTTGTCTTGAGCGTAGGCGACTAACGGGATCAGTTGGTCAGGCTTGCTGACTTGATTGAAGCATGTCTTCGATCCAAATTGCGTGGATCGATGCTCATGACATCAATCACTGGATTGTCTCGTCCAGACTCGATAATTTACAGACAACCGTCATATAGCTGGCATATTCCTGAGTGCGGCGTAAAACAACATATCGACCAATATAACAGTTATCCCTTTCTGTGCAGCCGTCAAAGAAGTTGTTGGCGCGTGGTCCCATAGGGCACAGCGCGCAGGTCATAATTCATAAAGAAACGTTGGTCGCAGAAATAGTTGGATGGGTGACCGTGTTCAGCAGACTGACTCTTGAGAGATTCAAAGGCATTGGCCCCACTAAAGCACATGTAGCACATGCAATATCTCATGAGGCAAGTGCATTTTGTTCGAAATATGCATCTGTTCCCCCAGCAGTGAATGGGTACCCGGTAGGGTAGGATAAGACGATGTTAACCTTCTAGCGCCTGGCAGCTTGGGTTGTATACTCCCCAGGCAGTCGAGCAAAAAATTCGAGTGTTATTATTATTATTATTCCTCGTTATGACAAATGTCTTTGTATTTCAATCGACGACAATCATGTCATTGATTTTTACGAAGCCTGACGAATTGTCATGAGACTCAGGTCATGCCATGAAGCAGGTATCATGTACCAGCTCCAGGGTGTGTCTCAGTCTTTCGACACGAAGTAACTATAGAAACCGAAAGATAAAGCCTTACTACCTATAATCTGCCCAACGATAAAACTATTCTGTTCGCACATTCCTGCAGAACTAAACAATTTGGGAATTAGATTAGCAAATATCGGATGGTGTTTACCTGCACCTTAAAAAACTCGAGCCTTTTCATTTTGCCCAATAGTCATTCGCTTTCGTCATTATTATTTCGACTACCACTGCCACTTACGTTCATGTTCAGCAACCCATGCTTGCTGTAAAAGGCGACTGTGCTTGTCGTAAGGGGCGACTAACGGGATCGGGTGGTCAGGCTCGCTGACTTGGTTGATGCATGTCATCAATCCCAATTGTGTGGATCTATGTTCATGATATTAATCACTGGATTGTCTGGTCCAGACTCGATTATTTACAGACCGCCGTCATATAGCTGGAGTATTGCTGAGTGCGGCGTAAAACAACAAACCAACCAACCAACCAACCATTTCCCAGAAGTAAGCAATGGGGACAAGGACTGGCCGCATTGCTGCAATCGCATTCTAAGGATGTTTTACTGCTGAAGTTGTCGACCCACACACCTTGCAAACGGGACAACAAAGGGTGTCAGTATGTTGTCCCGAGGGTACTGTCCAATGACCCTTCCTTGCACAATATTGAGTGGAGTTCGCTCAGTCACAGTGATGCCATCCCACACCATAATCGACCCACCGCCAAATATGTCAGGAGGTTTCTAACTCATCTCAAAAGTTGACACCTGACCAGCGACGAGTACCCCTGTTACTATTTGTTTGACATCAACTTTAAACGGTTTAGAATAAGTTTAGCACAATTTAGATGGAGCTCTCACATACTTAGGAACGAAGTAGGCAAGCATAGAAACATAGCCAGAGAATTGAGAATATGTGAGCAATGTGATTTAGATGTGTTTGAAGATGAGTTTCGTTTTCTGTTAGTTTGTCCAAAATACGACCACCTAAAAGAAAATATATTGATCTGCCATGTTATGTACATCCCACTCTACACAAATTTACAAGGATCATGTCTACAACTGATAAAGATTCTCTAAAAAATCTATCAATGTTCATTTATCATGCTATGTTAATAAGGATATCATGACCTGTAACCACTCCCGAAAACAGAATTGCACTATGGGCCTGAGGCCTTTCAGTATGGAATTCAACTTATCATATCCTATTCTACCCCTGTTACGACGGTGTACACGCAACTGACAATAGGACATTATTGGCTATATGACGATCTGTAAGGGGCGTCACAACAGGTGGCCGTCGAGCATGGCGATGAGCTGCATGAAGACGATTTCTGTTCGTCTGACTCGTAACTACTCCGGTACCCTGATGAAAGTTTGAAGCAATATGATTCGACGTAGAGGCAAGACGCGTTGCCGACGCAGCGTCGCTAGTATATACACGAACAATGAATGGAATCAAGTTAATCACAACTATGTGATGAGCGGAATAAGATTGACAGAAGTAATGGTCAACACAGATTATTCGACCTTCCTTGAAATTGTGTGGCTTTACTGCGTGTGGCACGTGCCAACTATAGGGTGTTTTGCAGTGAGTGAGTTGGGTTTAACGCCGCTTTAACATTATTCCAGTTATATCAAGGCGTGTCAGCTTAATGTGGGAGGAAAGTCCGAATTGATGCAGGTCTAAGACGTTTACCACTTCGGTGAAACCCACGAGCACGGGTATGGTGCTGACAAACATAATCGGGGTGAACCCACAGTCATAGGTTTCTAGCGTGCCCAAGGGACGCAACTCTGCACAACGAATCGCGGGGCCTTAGACGACTGGGCCCCCCGTGCCCCCTGTTTTACAGACATAACGTTCATGCATCGGATGTTTGTCTTTGTCTTAACATCTATATTTCACGGTCCCCTACGTTTTATAAGAGTATATATGGATAGTCTCTTGTCATTGATTCATTGCATTTGTGCTCTCAATTCTATTCGTTGTTTCATCGTATGGATAAATTCAAGTTAACGTGTTTTGTTTTGATTAGATACAAGAGTACTCTGACAGTACTATATATACTCTTCAAAAAAAGAAACTTGACAGATGTAAAACCACTTTTTGCCAAATATCTAAAATAATTACATTAAATGAGAACCAAATAAGTCAAACAGAGAGATGATGTGTCTATAATTCGCGAAAACACATGCAAAGCACATAAAGGTAGCGTTTGGGGATCAATTTTACAGCTTCATCCAAACGCAACCGCCTGTAATAAACGTGCAGCACAGGATCCTGCATTTAGGCATGCAGGCCCCCCTGCTGAATGGGTATAAAAATCCAAATCAACGGCTGCTCATACAGTCCTTATAACGGCAGTAGAGGCGGTGACAGAATGCCAAGACTGAATGCAGCTCAACGGAACAACGCCATTGGGAGATTACAAGCTGGAGCAACTCAGCAAGAAGTGGCCAGGCACTTTGGCGTGTCCAGACAGACAGTCTCCGCACTGTGGACCCGATACAACAACACCGACAGAGTTGACGACAGACCAAGGTCAGGAAGACCAAGGGTGACAACCCAAGCACAAGATCGATACATCCGGCTGCGACACCTCCGAGACCGCACTACCACAGCCACGTCTACAACCACACAGATCCCTGGGGTACGCAGAATATCAGATCAAACGGTACGCAACAAACTGAGGGAGGCTGGACTTTTTGCACGAAGACCTGTTCGACGTCATGTATTGACCCCACGTCTTCTGCTTTGGTGCCAACAGAGGGTTAGATGGCCCGGGCACGTGCAAGAAATGTACTGTTTACTGACGGGTCCCGTTTCCTACTCACACGTGCTGATGGGCGCGCACGTTGTCTACAGACGTCGGGGTGAACGTTACGCCCCCAACTGTGTGCAGCAGGTTGTCCCATTTGGCAGCGGGAGTGTCATGGTATGGGCCGGAATTCATCACGGTGGAAGGACGCCTCTCGTGCATGTGGCAGGTGCATTGACAGGTGTGCGTTACAGAGACTTGATCCTACAGCCTTACGTTCTTCCTCACGTCAACGTTCATGGCGGACAGTTCCAGCAGGACAACGCTCGATCGCATATTGCACGTGTTTGTAAGGACTTCTTACAGCAGAACAACATCCAGACATTACCTTGGCCAGCCCGGACACCAGATTTGTCCCCGATTGAGCATCTGTGGGACGAGTTGGATCGACGCGTTCGCAGAAGGAATCCACCGCCCTAAACACTTCCGGCGCTTCTTGATGCACTTCAGCATGAATGGCAGCACATCCAACAGCGTGTTATTGACAACTTGATTGCATCTATGGGTCGTCAGTGTCAAGCGGTGATTGATGCACGTGGTTGGCACAACCGATACTGACATTTTCTGTACCCCTGTGACATTAACTGTATCGTGTACGTGTGTCTGTCTAGGTGACAATGTTTTGAACATTGTGTACATTGATGTTCAAACAGTGTTTCAATTATGGTTTCTGTGTCCTATTTTGAAACAATCGCATTATATTACAGTTTGAAAGTCAGTGTCAAGTTTCTTTTTTTGAAGTGTATCTATAAAACATTGTCACATCTCCCAATACAATAGTAAGCCAAACAAGTTCTAATCCAGCCTTTTAGTATCATATGCGGTTAAAATTGTGCAAGACACTGGAGACAGGTCACAGTGTTGTAATAACATTTGTATAAGGAAGCAATCGCTATTGGCACAGTTCATACCTGTGTTGCCGACAACAGAGAACGCCATGGCAACATATGCTATAAAGCCCCACGTCACACAGGTAGGGAGGGTGTGTTGCAGTGAGGTCAGACCAGATAACGCCGAGGAGTGGGCAGGATGTGGACGTTGCCGACTTTTCCGCTGCTTTCATGTGAGTCATCAACTATATATTTCGATATATTTTAATTTACATTGTTCCCTTACTTATTATATTTAGCAGTTATTCCCAATTTTAATACTGTTAGTCGCATGTGTTTATTTTTCGTTCTATTTAGATATCATTTAGTATTTAGTATATTAAATTCGAAGATGTCGTTTAAATTACTAATTGTTTCCAAGTACCATGATAAAATATATACCGCATAAATAATGTATTTCCAACAAGATACAAATTATATTTGTTAATCTCAACGTCTCGAGTTCACATAAATCATGAATGAGGTATGTATAAACTTTGTTTCCGAGAGTAAAGAACTCGACCAAAATATGCACATTTATTATTCGTAGTTCGAGACAAGCGTACAGCCAGTATGAAACCATGGTAGTTATTTTGAGAAGACCTTACGCTCTATCTTTCCCTCGGGAATTAATATAACGTCATAGATCTGTGACATTAATTCCCTCAGGGAAAGATTACCCTTTATATTCCGAGTTTCGAGTTGATTATTCTCTTTCTTACCCACAATCAAATATAGTGCAAACATTTCTGAATCTCATCCCTAACCACCTTCAAAATTTCCAGCGGCTGTAACCCAACCCGAAAGCAAAGTATCCCTACGCAATCATAAAAAAGCCAAATTCAAATTTAGTATAGTTGCATCAGTTCAATACATGAACTTTAACAAGTGAAAATTTTAGAAGCCAACATCGGCGAGTTGGAGAATGTTAGCTGAAGCTGGCCACACGTTTTGGCGTAACGTTACATCGGTTCAGTGCCAAGTTTTCACGGATTCGAACACTGAGCAACACCATACATGCATACCAGTGTGAGATGTATGGACGGATCTGGAATATTTATGATCAAGTTGTGCTTAGTTATCCGGAATCAGAATCCAGAATCATACGACGTTGCTTTGCATATTTTGAACCTTGATGGAACTGGTGTTGTTGATGTGAATGTGGAAAATACGCCCGTGTATAGGGACAGCAAGCAACGCCCGTATCACAGTTGATGATGTCTCCTTGTCGTAACAACATCATGACCGTGCGAGTTGTTTGTTGTTTAACGCCGCAGTCAGCAATATTCCAGCTATATGACGGCGGTCTGTAAATAATCAAGTCTGGAACAGACAATCCAGTGATTGATATCATGAGCATCAATCCACGCATTTGGGATCGATGACATGCATCAACCAAGTCAGCGAGCCTGACCACCCGATCCCGTTAGTCGCCTTTTACGACAAGCATAGTCACCTTTTACGGCAAGCATGGGTTGCTGAAGACCTATTCTACCCCGGAGTCTTCACGGGCCTGAGCGTGCGAGGATGTGGAGGAAGTGACAGACATGTTAGCTGACATATATTTGTGGTTGACGGTATGATTGGTTTGACTAAAACATTTTATTCACAAAAAGTGAATGGGATAAGGTACTCCAACTTGGGACACCTTCTCCCAGATATTTACACAATTGATTTATAACTTGTACTATACACTATAGGAAAGATAAGTGAACAGTGAGAACAATACAGTTTACATAAATATCTTTGTATTACGGATATAAGTCATTACATATTTGAATAATTTAATTTTATCTTGTTCTGGTAAATCCCCATTTCCATTGAATATCAAATTGAGATCAGTTGGTGCATTTGCGGCTGTACTGCTTATTTTTCGAAGTAAAGTGTCAAGTTGAAAAAAAAGAATTATAATATTATGTATATTCACACTTTCTACCACATAAACATTTTGCTGTGTCTTTAATTCCCAGTCGACATAAATCATAGCTAGGCCAATACCCAAAATTGAATAACATACAATAAAATAAGATATGACAAGTTTACTATTGTAATAAGAAAGCACAGGGTGGTCCTTAACTTGTTTTTAGCAGTATAGTAACATCACCCAGTTCATTTGTTTGAAGATCCGGGGTAGAATAGGTCTTCAGCAACCCATTCTTGCCGTAAATGGCGAATATGTTTGTCGCAAGAAGAAGCGACTAAAGGGATCGGGTGGTCAGGCTCGCTGACTTTGTTGAAGCATGTTATCAATCCAAATTGCGTGGATCGATGCTCATGATATCAATCACTGGATTGTATGGTCCAGACTCGATTATTAACAGACCGCCGCCATATAGCTGGAATATTGCTGAGTGCGGCGTTAAACAACAAAAATAAATCATCTTATGCTTTCGGCTATGGTTTTGTCTCTTTAATTTACAGGCATCTTGACAGCTACGTTTATCAGGTTTGCGGCTGCTACTTGTGCTACCTGTCCATACAATGCGACAGTTGATGCCGATTGCTCGTAAGTACACTACGTCCTCCCTTTTCCCTTTTCGTTAATTGTAGAAGCCTATCTTAAGAAAATATATACTGTTATTTGCTGTTTATTGATTGTGGATATTAATTGAATACGGGCCGGTCATCTGTCGTTTGCCATTCTTGCAAAACACATGTTGCAAGAAAACATATCGTTTTCATACAGTCCAATGAATGGTGTTGCAATATACATGCCACAAACAAAACGTACATGACTGTATGAGGACGAAAACATGGTAAGAAGGATGGACTATTTAATGACATGAAACTTGTGTTGACTTCAAGAAAAACCTTTGGAGCACTGTCCGAAAACAGCGGTATAATGTTATTCAACTGGTCTCGATTTCTAGTACATCGTTGTAATTGTAAATATTTGCATCTCACATGTACGTTAAAATACAATATATCTATATACGACTGTGTATGTATCTTGTTAACTGCAGAGACCTGAAAACCTACCTGGGGTGCCTTGAGACTGCCTCGGGAACAGGAGCTTCGTGTAACCTGTCAGCAGCTGATGCCTTGGAGATCAAAAACGCTAATTGCAGTAAGCAGCAGTTATGACACGGAACTTTCAGATTACTGCATTCGAGTACAATCAACATCATACCATCCCACTCCGCCCCAATGTGGGAATTTGGTCACTTTGCTTAATGCGCGTATTGTACGGCCTAAGGCATGGGACGTTTCGTATAATATGAATCACTGGCGTTTGTCTGGTCTTGACACTGTTAAGTACATGCCACCATCATTACCAGAACAGTGCAGCATTAAAACACAAACAAACATTGTTTCAGCCGCTGTATTGCCCCAGGCATGCAGTTGCCAAAAGGACTTATGGGGGACAAACGGGACTGATCACGAGAAATGCAGGTAAAGGTTTGTTATACTTTGGTGTAATGCAGCTTACACATACAGGTTATTAATTTCTAAATAATAGCGACTGCACCCTTCCATATTAATAACAAATCTCTGCCACCAACAGAGTCGATTGTTCAATTCGGATTATATCAAGAGCATGTGTTTATGGAAAACTTTCAAATAGTGATGATACCAGTTGTTACAAGTTCAAGTAAACACATCTATGAATGAGTTATTGATTGATTTATTTAGTGAGTGAGTGAGTGAGTGAGTTTGGTTTTACGCCGCTTTTAGCAATATTCCAGCAATATCACGACGGGGGACACCAGAAATGGGCTTCACACATTGTACCCATGTCGGGAATCGAACCCGGGTCTTCGGCGTGACGAGCGAACGCTTTAACCACTAGGCTACCCGACCGCCCCTATTGATTTATTTATGAATGATGTCAACCTAATTAGTTTTTGCATTATTGCTCTCAGTCGTTAGTTTATTATGTAATCAATAACTTAAAAAACATATTTTACAAATTGACTGAAGATCTGACGACAAATCCATGACCGCCCAGTCTAAGTGAAGAATACTCGGCTCCTTGAGCCAATCAGATGTCAGCTTTCAAAAACGTTCAGTTAATGTTTTTCCCACCTAGTTTCGCGAATGTCGATTTTTACACAAGGAAACCGACACAGATCAGACATATTTCTTCGATAGTGCTTCGTTTTGTTTTCAAATGCCATGGTGCTCTGAAACGACAGGATCATTAAAATATATAATGATGCAGCGTTTATAATTCTTAACCGGAACAGGACAATAAAGTTAATTTCAGGGATACAAAAATCAGACATGCTGGTAAGAATGCTTCCTGAATTGAGAAGCATCGCAGCTGAGTGTCCTATTTGAAAGTTCTCCTGACGTGACCTTCTATGGTCGTGTCCTCGGTACAATAAATTGTATTGCAGTAAAGGATCGGATTTTAAGGAAATTGATATTTTATTATTCTTTCTCATGTTCTTAAGAACCATTTGTTAATGTATTACATGACTAGTAAAGTTCTCCAATCATCCTATTTTATTTGCTTGCAAGAGTCCAATACAATTTCAGAATTTAGATCAATTGTAATTGTGTAAGGGCACTAACGAACTACACTGCATGTCTGAGCGTCAACTACAGACTCCGATTTGCGGTGATCCCTACATATAATGTTCACCGCCATTTTGCCCTTTACACCGACAGTTTTGGCAGATAATCGAGACTGGTTATATTTATTCTTTAGCTTTGACGTTTTAGTTTTACATGTCTAGTATCAGGCTCCAATTATCATATATTAGTTACAGTCAAATATAATTTCAATGAAACATTTGTTTCAGTTCACTGACGACCTACATTGCATGTCTCCACGTTACCGTTAACGACACATGTACGCCTGGGTTCAACATTTCAACTCTTGTTGCCAATGCTGACTCGAGATATGCAGCTTGCAGTAAGTACCATAGAGTTGTATTCCTATGTACGTGTGAATAAGCGTAGCTCTTACCCTATTAGTCTCACACTTAACACAAGTAAATGGTGATGTTTGTTCGGACACAAAGCAACGGCAGCTCTACAAACGTGATAGCACATTTCTATTACTGGAACGGGAGTGGTGAATATAGAATATCCAGAAAGAGATGATTAACCTTTATTTGACATTCCAGGTGACCCATGCAAAGGTAACTAGAGCCTTGGGACGTTTTGTTTTAAAGACATATTATTTGCCATGTTATTTATTCAAACCGGAAATATCGTTAGAAATCCCGAATTGCGTGTCATTCTTATGAATGGAAACGACGGTCATTTCGAAAGCTGGTCAGAAAATGTGTGAGCATGTTCACCCATTGAAATTATTCTGTGACCTCTACAATGTCTGAGTCCGCATGGAATGAGACAAATTGAGATGTGGATCAAACTGATTAGAATTTTTGGATGCAGAATCAAAAACCTCGCCAGCTAAAGTGTTGAGATCGCTTGAAGGGTCTCATGCGAGATCATCTGACGGAATGTGTTAAGTAAGTGTACGGAAAGAATCATTATATTTCTGACTATTTCATACCAGGTCCATGTGCCACCTTCGACTGTCATGACAAGGGGAAATGCATGGCTGACAAAAAGGACAAAACAAAGGGAGCGTGTGTCTGTGACAACGGGTTTACGGGAGACCATTGTGAAAATGGTAAGCAGTATAGATCCTTGTTCATTTTTACTAATGTTATGAAAGCACTGTGTTTATATACTCTATTTTATAACATATAAAGTTACCATTAGATTGAGCATGTGTTTAAGAGATTTCTTTAACGGCTACAGACCCGTGAAAATCCGGGGTAGAATAGGTCTTCAGCAACCCATACATGCTGTAAAAGGCGACTTTGCTTGTCGTAAGAGGCGACTAACGGGATCGGTCACGTGGTTAGGCTCGCTGACTTGGTTGATGCATGTCATCGATCCCAATTCCGTGGATCGATGCTCATGATATTAATCACTGGTTTGTCTTGTCCAAACTCGATTATTTACAGAACGCCGTTATATAGTTGGAATATTTCTGAGTGCGGCGTTAAACAACAAACCAACCAATTTAACGGCTACAGGAAAAGTATTGTATCTATACAAGCAACAATTGATTCGATCTTACTATACTATGAGTGTGTATAATTGTAACGTTGCAATTATCACTTGCGTCCTGATCGAGGGTGTTGAACGAAAGGCCTAAATAAGGCAATGTCCGTGACTTTAGTCAAAGCATGGTCCCCGATTCACAACTGACTTTCAGGTGTGTATATATTTGTTTCATGCATTTATAACAGGTGCGCCAAAGGAAATCTCTCTGTTGTCACTCCTGGCTACTCTCCTGGCTGCCAACATATTCAGGATGACCCTGACATGAAGTGAACTAATAGAGTTGAACGTTTCTTGGCTACTTGCAAACTTCTGAAATTACAATTACAGACATGCTATCTGTGTATCTATATATTGCCGGTTTTTGAATGTGACATGTCTATACACAATTTTTAAAAGTCGACTTGTGAATGAATTTCTAACATACCAGTACAGCGCTGTTGATGATCTGACTTAAACAGTACAAATGTGATGTATTGTCCTGAAGGGTATACTGAAATATTGTAGTGATGAATGAAGCTGATGACGTGGCCTTTGTGTAGGTCACTGAATAAAGTGGATGTTATCTACCCTTTTGAACAATGGTGAGTTACATGACGAATTATTAATGACTGTATCACTCGTTTCGTTAATAAACACCCCTTTGCTGAACAAAACAAGTTGTTATCTATTTGGTGATGAAATAATGTATTCCATAGAGATAAATGACTGTATTATTCGCCAATGTGATGATGCAGGCAACTTAGGAGTCATTTTGATACTACAATGAGCATGGAGAAACACATCCATAACATCTGCAAAACTTATTATTATCATGCAGCAAACATTAGCCACATTAGAAAGTGTACTATATATTTCGAAATTGAAAGTGAGTGATATTTTCATTGCAGTGAACATAACAATTGATATTTCTCTGCAGTGAACATAACACTTTCACGGAACTATTGCAAGAGTGACCTCCCCTCAAATTGTCTCCCTTTATCGTAAGTGTCTGGCATGTTCACAAACTCTTGATATCTTTTTAACGTTCCACATTGATAAGGCAAAATAATGACAGATGCCATTGACAGAGTTGATATCACTCCGTGGCGTTTGTTGTTCTCTTGAAAATGTTCCGTTATAAACTGCAAATGTCCCACATACCTCGTCAATCGAGACCTTTCGTTTGCAAAGCGCCATTTTTGCGATTTGAACAGCGTGTATTATTTTGCTTCTAACAGCGGTCTCGAAGTTTTCGAGAATATTTTTTGTTAAAGTTAATTACTTTGTATATATTCATATCTATATGTATGATACAGAATTTTCGCGGCACTGAATGCCTTTTGTTACTATTGTTTATATTCTATTTTTTGGCAAACAGAAAACTACTTTTTAAGTCGCAAATACAAGGGGTGGTGACCCGGCCCTGTGTGTTAGGTAGGGAGAATTTACGTTTCAAGGTTTTAGATTTATAATGAAATAATTTAATTTCCCGATAGACCACGACACAAAATATCCTCTATATATCCTCTATACATCCAAAATATAGTTAAAAGAAGGCCTAGAAGGTCCAATATTTTTCTGCAGCAACAGTAATCACACGTACCAGAATGTATGGCGAACTCATGTTCTGAAGGAATTGCACTGGCTTCCAGGCCGTCAACGAATCCACGACAAAATACTTCTTTCAATTTTCAGGCTCCATAACTGACTAATGGCCCCTGTCATTGTGCCCCGTTTGCGGGGATTATTTCCCATACATTCAGTTATTGGTTGCCTGGTCCAGACTCGAATATTCATGCACTCCCTTTTTGATGTGGCAATTCACTATATATTAATATTTATTCTTGTAATCATAATTTCTTTGAACATTATTCGCGGGAAAACCATTATATAAATGATGAAATCCTTACATTAATCATCATGAGAAATTTCTTCTTAAAGCAGAGTCGAGTATATTTTTCCGACGGTATCATGTTCTTGACTTACTCTCTAATAGTGATGATAACAGCTAGGTATCTAGGCTCACCTGTGGCACCGCCGTTCAGAACAAAACAATATTAAAAGTAAGTATATCACCTGAATTATTTCATACCATGGAAGATGGAAGGTTTGGATTGCCTTCTTTGCATTTTTTTAGCACAGTTTCCATTGTAGCAGTAAAGCTACAATAACAATACAATCTCTGGTCTGGTGGTGACGTGAATGTGGATCAATCTGCTTGCTGATCAAGAACCAATATTCGGCTGGTGTTCCCGCAAGACCTGGATCACCAGGGTGGTTCAGTTTGACATTGTGTCCTCGCGGCGGGGATCGATGCCAACAATTACCACTTGCGTGTGTACCCATGTTCAAGGCCCGATTGAGCTGTTATGGTTTTTGAATTCAATTTAAAGTTTACCCCTGAACACCCAGTTGTCTCTGACACTGTTTGATATGACAACATTTTTGGGGTTAAGTGGTCAGGACCATAGCCGTGCTCCTCGTGAAGCGTCATAAGGTGAGATGATAATGGGGTTTAACGTCGCGTCCAAGTTTATTGCACTTATATAGCGACGTGCAGGCACCTGTGTTTGTGTGTGTGGCTGTTTGTACTACGTAGTCCTGACTGATGTCGAGATTTATAGTGCTAGCACACTGAGATACCATGCCGCAGATTAACATGAATACCCCATTAAGACACAGTATACTGACTCCGAGCCGACCAGTACTTGTTTTAGCCCCTTAATGCCGAGCGCCGGACAGGGTAACAACAAGTACCATGTTTTATCCTCTTTTGGTATGACGCGACCGGAGATCGAATCTCGTACCTTCCGCTCTCAGGGTAGACGCTCTACCATTAGACCTGAAGCTTCATAAAAGTGGTAAATGTTTCTCCCACATTATACTGACACATGCTGGAACTTAAATATGGACCAATGCTGCTTCAAACGTCGATTCAACAACTCATACTTGCTTAATCAGACCAGTTTGTGCATATACATCATAATTATATTAGAAAGCTATCCCAAAGAGAAACGTTTCACTGCAACATAGTGTCGCCTGCATTGGTGCCCGTGGAAGATTCTAGGGTAGTCGTTATTTGTATGCTTAACGTGTAGACTGACGTATTACTGAATAGATATTTTATCCTGTCATCATCCACTATATTCTGATTGCTTTTTTTAAGTAGTGTGGAATAATAAGTTTGTGACCGCATAAACGTCGAATATATAGCACTACCACACTGATGATTGCCAAATTACTCGATGAATTTAAACTAATGGGTCGCTGATATCCAAGTATAAATAAATGTGAACGTCACATTAATTCAGCAGTTAATGTAATTACGGCGACGTTTTTTGTTTTGATATTTCTCATCTCAAAATACATCAAGCGCCCCTTTGCTAAAAATACATAGATAAGAGTCACTAAAAGTCTTCTGTCTCTGTTTAATCTGGTGACTACGTGAATAGCACAGTTTATATAGCTTACACTTACACCTGCGTACAGTTTGCCTCATAATTAACTGTGTTATCGCCGCCCTGTTCGGTTCTATTACTAACGCTTCTGTTCACTGGTTCTCAATGTACGTAAAAGGAAATATGCCCTATTCGTGTTTATGCAATTGTCAATAATGGTTTCATCTCACTCATGTCAATATTGATACCATTACACTGATTGCATGAAGTCATTGCAAAATAACCTAGTCTCTTCTCCAGCTGAAGCTGAAATTTTAAAAAAAAACTAATTATTTAAGTTGTCTTCAAATAAAGGGAAGTTGATTTCCGGCATGGCATGATAACTGATTTTCTGTGATCCATTCACATACTTTTCAGTAGGAGAAGGTTTGAGTTTTAGCAAATGTAAGGACGGTAGGTGGAAGGTCACGAGCCAGCAGGTAATTGAGTGAGTGAGTTAAAATTTGAAGTCACATTGGCATTATTTCAGCCATATCGTGACTATCATGGGTTAAACGTAATAAAAACATTGAGACTTATATAAAAAAAGCCTGCTGAAGGACAGTAAAATAACTAGACGTATCACAGAAAAGGATTTAAAACTAGTATTGAATCATAAAATAGATAGCACTGTACATAACAATACATTATTAAAACGGGCTATAGATCGCCAGCAATTGGAGGTAGATCAGCATTCTAGGGACCATGGGGACTTACAGTTCTTTTGCTTCCTCCGTGGACCCCAGCAGGATTTACACCATCCCTTCAGGTGCTTGCGACTATGGAATAAGTTAGCCTAACATATTAAATTGACACATATTCTACGATTATAAACGTGGTAGTTCTAAATTTACTTTGAAAGATGTGGAACTTGCGTATCCTCTCAGGGGGACATCTTTGGAGACCCGTGAAGATTCCGGGGTAGAATAGGTCTTCAGCAACCCATGCTTGCCGTAAAAGGTGACTATGCTTGTCGTAAAAGGTGGCTAACGGGATCGGGTGGTCAGGCTCGCTGACTTGGTTGATGCATGTCATCGATCCCAATTGCGTGGATCGATGCTCATGATATTAATCACTGGATTGTCTGGTCCAGACTCGATTATTTACAGACCGCCGTCATATAGCTGAAATACTGCTGAGTGCGGCGCTAAACAACAAACAAACAAAACTCAGGGGGACAATAATTTTACAGTACCTTAACCCCCTTCGAGGATACAGCCACTAACGATCGCCGTTAATTTAATCTACCAAATTTAAACCATTGTTTTTATACAAAACATATTATTAATCAAAATTTTGCAAACAATTCAATATTCTTTAAAAAAATTACACGAGAAGTAATACTAGTAAAAAGATCCTTAATAGATGATGATTTGAAATAATGATCCTTTGTGATGAAAAAATCAATACAGTCAAGCAGGACATGCCTGACTGTGATTTTTTCATCACAAGGGATACAAAACGGTGGATCCCCACCTTTTAATAAATACTCATGTGTATATCTGCTGTGGCCAATACGACATCGTTGCACAATGACCTCTTCAGAATTGGACTGACAACCATGTAGGTGAAACCGATATTTGGTTTAATTTCACGTAATTTATTGATACCTCCTTGGGTGTCCCACTTCTTTTGCATGAGATCTCGGATGTAAGATCTAATCACGAGGTTATAATCAGTGTATGGGACAAGAAGCGATGTAACAGATTTGGCCAGCAGGTGAAGGGACGGCGGGAGGAATGTCATTTGTGAGAAGGTGTACATGTGAGTGAGTGAGTTAAAATTTAACGTCACATCGACATTATATCAGCAGATGTAAGAGTGATAGCAGGAAGGTCACGTGACAGCAGATGTAAGGACAGTGGGAGGAAGGTCACTGGTCAGCAGGTGTAAGGACAGTGGGAGAAAGGTCACGTGTCAGAGGATGTAAGGACGGTGGGAGGAAGGTCACGTGTCAGCAGGTGTAAGGACAGTGGGAGAAAGGTCAAGTGTCAGCAGATGTAAGGACAGTGGGAGGAAGGTCACGTGTCAGCAGGTGTAAGGACAGTGGGAGGAAGGTCACGTGTCAGCAGATGTAAGGACGGTGGGAGGAAGGTCACGTGTCAGCAGATGTAAGGACGGTGGGAGGAAGGTCAAGTGACAGCAGATGTAAGGACGGTGGGAGGAAGGTCAAGTGACAGCAGATGTAAGGTCGGTGGTAGGAAGGTCACGTGTCAGCAGATGTAAGGACGGTGGGAGAA